TAAACGTCCTATGGAGCACAGCTCCACTTTGGCACACCTAGGGGCTCTGTGATTCCCAATCAACTTACCTGACAGCACAGGCAATGACTAATGATAATGAGCATCTTTTTATGTGCTTGTTGGCCATGTATGCACCTTCCTTGGAGAAATGCTTATCCGAATCCTACATTTTTTTCTCCCTAAGCTGGGTTGTTGTTCTTGTCGCCCATTTCTTTTTCAACTCCTTTCTTAAGTTTAGTTCCCCCTTGTCTCTACGGTGGCCCTTTGAACACACCGAGAGGAAGGTCTGTCTCTGAAGACACGGCGCATTGTTAGTTGTTTTATTGTAAGCGGCTGCGCATCGGCAGGCACAGTGAGAGGCTGGGTTTACTTGGCAGTCTCTTTTTGTTCCTGGATGGTCAGACTCCCGAGGGCAGCATTCTCAGCTTCTGATAAATGAGTCTTGGCTAGCCGTGCCCTGCACACAGCAGAGGAAGGAAGCAAAGCCCAACTCGGATGCAACAGCAGCAGCACAGCGGCAGGCAGCATTTTCCAAAATGCAGAGGAGCAGCGCCGGAAGCGCGGTCCCGTCCAGCCCCTCGCCTCCCAGCATCAGCACGTGGCGGTGGAGCGCACTCGCTAGTGCGCAGTCCAATCAGCCTTAGTAATTCGGTGGAGCTCACGGTGCCGTGCACATCGAATTGCACCTCAACAGCACTCAGCCCAATGTCCCATTTTACAAGTTACATCCGGACAATCTCAGACCAAATAAATTAAAAGGCAGGACAGAACTTGTTGTGCTTCACTGAAAAAAGCAAAGATACAGTTCCATGACTTTTTACAATGTAGTATTTCTGTTAGGACATTTACTAGGGCGGTCAATACTGGGACGTCCCATGGAAAGGAATTTGCAATGCACTCGGCATGTTTCATTAGTCATTACTTAGTGAACAGTGTGGAGTCGATTTTGTTCAAGACATAATTGGAGACATGGAGCATATGCTGGAGGGGCCCTCTGGATGAAGCTGAGTAAACCAATTCCTACACAAATGCATCATGCAAGAGATTCCATCTCAGTGAAAGGGCTGTGAGGTAGTTAGTTTATTGTGCCAACCTGGCTGATAAACACATGTGGGGTTAATTGAAGGGCAGAGGGATAAATGACTCAGTGAGCCTCGCCTTTCTAGTTCTTGGGTCTCTTGCTTTCTAATGGTCGGACCAGGGTGCAGCTGCCTTAGCCAGTTCCCTGCTTCAACCAACAAGGTTGGTTGCAAGACATCCCTGAGGAGAAGCCACATGGACCTACCCCGATGCAGCCCTGGGTGCTGGAGCAGCCGTATGGAGACCCCTGCCAGTGCTGAGATGCTTACATATTCACTGACTCGGCTTTCCCCCTGCAGTCGGCATCATAGTGTGTTTTGTAAGATGGAGGAGGACTTTGTGGATTGGTGTTGGACATATGGGCTAATGTTGGACTTGTGAGCTTGGGCAACACTGGGTTGGGATGTTTTCTTGATGTGCACTTAACCTTTATATATTTTTAAATTTTATAAAAGGCTCCCTCCCTTCCATAAAGTACCCTCTTCTGCTGAATAAGGAGTCCTGGTAGCTAGTGGGTCACATATCTCAATGTTAATAAGCATAAAGTCACTGGTTCGAAGATACCAGTAGCTCTTCAGGGGAAAGATGAGGCTGTCTGATCCGGTAAAGGTTTAAAGTCTCAGAAGCACAAAGGGGCAGTCCTACTGTGTCCTAGAGGGCTGTTATGAGCTGGAAACAGCTGGATGGCAAGGGGTTTGATGGGTTTGTTGGGGGAGAGCAGGGATGGGGATACAGTTGGTGAATGGAGCCCTGCAGAGACATGGTTTGGTGAGCATGCCTAATAGATGTCAGCCTTAGCACACTCTTTAGTCTGGGTAACTGTGTTCAATGCACAAAATCCCAACCAAACCTGGAAGTCCTGCAAAATAGTGGGCAAATCCTCTGGAGCTAGAAAGGTCTGGAAAGACCGAAAGGAGAAAGTAATCATTTTCACCTGAGTCTTCAAGAAGATTTGGAGATCAGGTATGAAAGAGCATGGCAGGTAAGGAAGAGTTGTGGGACAGGTAAACCTAAGAAATGTTGTCTGCCATCCGGTTGGGTCTGCCTCAGTGTTTGGTGACCCCATGCATACACTTGCATCATTTGGACATGTCAGGAGAGACCAGTTCCTGGAGAAGGACCATGCTTGCTAAAGTGGAAGGGCAACCAAAAAGAGGAAGGCTCACAAGGAGATGGATTGAACCTTGGCTGGAACTATGGGCTCTGACATAAGAACAAGTGTGAGGATGGCGCCGAACTGGGCAGTAATTCTTTTTGTTGTGCATGGGGTCGCTATGGGTCAGAACCGACTCACAGCATGTTAATAGCAACATGCACAATGGAACAAAATACTGCTCAACCCCAAACCATCCTATGACAGGTTTCGAAGCAGACCATTCTGAACCATTCCCTAGTTGACTTTCAGAAGAAGCGTCCCAGAGCTTCCCTCCTAGTCAGTCTTAGTCGGGAAGCTCTGGTTAAATGTGTTTAGAATTATGGCAACACACAGGTCTCAGAGCTGGGCATAAGACCTGTTAACCCCATTGCCTGGCAAGTTGATTCCAACTCCTCACAACCCTCTAGGTTAGAGCAGAGCTGCCCATAGGGTTCCCACGGCTGGACATTTGATGGACGCCAATGGTGTCCCCTTCCTCTCAGATAGTGGCTGCTCAGCTCCAGCCTCGCTGACCTTAACCATGGATACAGCTGAGCATTTCACCATGGAATTTAACCACTGGGGCTCCTTAAAGAGGTATCCAGCGAGCAGATTCTGTAAGGAGAGTGGAGTCCCTTGAATGGAGTCTTGTAGCACAAGACAGAAAACCTGGATGGAGGTGGTCTTTGATGGTTAAGCTAAAAGGGGGTAAAATCGCATTTATGACCAGTCAGGAAGTGTGGCCCAGGGTTCTGGAGACAGACAGCCTCCGTGTTCTATTTCGTAGGATGGGGATAAAATAGTATCCATCTCAGAGATTTGCTGTCACGCTGAATTTTCAAATGTTTATAAATTGTACAACACAGATGAACCCTAAATCATTGCGCTCAGTGAAGTGAGTGACACCGAAGGACAGGTATTGTATGCTTCCGCGTAGACGCTGACTCTGGGCAGGAGAGGGAATGGAGACCAGTGTTCCCTAGTGCTTACCAGTGAAGGAGAAGACAAGACTCCGTGCTTAGGGGATGCTGAGTAGTGGTGAAGAGTGATGAGACCATGTGAACGCATAATGGTGATGATGTTGAACAACATAGTCCTAAGTGACGTCACTGAATTGCCTAGGTGACGAATGTCCAAATGGCAAACAGTGTGTTAGATATGCACCACAATTTTGAAAATGCAAAAAAGAAACTTAATTTTTTTCATGTATGTAAAGTGCTTAGCACAGTGCCTGGAATTTCCCAAGGTCAGGCGGTCAAGCGTCCCAGCTGCTCCCAGGGAGAAAGACCAGGCTGTCTACTCCCATAGAGACGGCCGGTGGTGGGATTCAGCCCATTTGCATCGGTTCAGCAGCACCAATACCTAGTTTTTGTTGAGTTTGGTGATCTGGTTGTTGACATGACACTTGTTCCCTCCAAGGTTCCCTCCAAGGTGGAAATCCCAAATGTACACTGCTTCCTCTTTTTCAACCTTCTTCTGTGCTGGAGCCGTGTTCTGATAGCATGTTGAAATAATAAATTACCTTTTGGTATACATATATTTTAATACATAAAATGGCCAGTAAGGCAGCGAACAGTTGTTAAATTATTTGACTCCCACTTCTGCTTATAACCTGGGGAGTGTGAAAGAGTGCAACTATGAAAATCAACCCAATGGACGTGAATTTGGGGGGTTCGGTGGAAACTATTAAGCAAAAGGTTATGTGCGTTTTTAAACTAGGTTGAAAACACTATTTCATGACGAGGTGTGCAGGGTGCACGAGAAAGGAGAACAGAAGTTGGGAGGCTCACTGTTTGTGAGCTGTCTGTATGTGAGAGGAACTTCAGAGGAAGAGTAAAACACCAACAAGCAGATTCACTGCCGCCCAGTCCTGGATGACTCCCAGCGAGCCTTTAAAATAGGGTCAACGTGCCCCGGGGAGTTTCGAAACGTGACCCTTTACAGGAGTAGAAAGCCCTGTCTTCGGGGTTCCGAATTGCTGGTGGCTGGTGGCTTCAAACTGCTGGCCGTGAGGTTAGCAGCCTAACCACTACACCACCAGCACGCTCGTCAGAAGAAGGGTAAGAGGGCTGGAAAATAGTCACGTCAGGAGCACTAGCAGGAGTCAGAGAGCTTCAAGCACTTTTCTGCCAGTATTAGCCTTCGCTCGTATAAATACACCGACCATCTTCAGCAGTGGACATGGACAAATTGATCATTTTGACATTTTAGTACAAGTCAAAGACATACTGAATACAGAGGCCTGAGATTTTACCCAATATTGAATTAGACCCCAAGACTGCCCTACAAAAATTCCCATATAAAAATGTCCCATTGCAAGCGAACATAGTAACATATGTAACATCACTAGTTACATAGAAAACTTTCCCAAGAAGCCTTGTTTACATTTCAAAGTGTCTTCTGATGAAAACATGAGACAGAGCCTCCTCCATTGAGGGAGAACATCCTTGAGTCATATGCAATTTTTAAGACCTGAACTTAATATCAAAATAAATAGGAGAATTAAGGAAACTACCCAGATCTCTCCCACTGACGCATTTATTTATAAGCAAGTTTACCTAAGAATCCAATACCGCTTTAAAAGCCATGCTGAAGTGGCTTTACCTGAAACTCCCTTGGAGAAAATGTATCCCACGTTTTACTCTTTCACATCTTCCAGGCACTGGGTTCGTTTGGGGCCAGTGTTTCGGCTCACTGCCGGAGACAGCATGACAGAAGCTGGATTTCATATCCCTGTGGCACCCCACCCCACCCCCGACTTCCTGTCTCCCTCTATGCCTTGCAGATACTTGCCTGAGATCATGAACGATGGACTGACCAATCAGATCAACAATCCCGAGGTGGATGTGGACATCACACGGCCCGACACTTTCATCAGGCAGCAGATTATGGCTCTCCGCGTGATGACCAACAAATTAAAGAATGCCTACAATGGCAATGACGTCAACTTCCAGGACACAAGTAAGAAATCTTAGCAGACCCCAGGAACTTTCCGAGTAGGAAATGCTCATTGGTGTTGTTAGGTGCCATCAAGTTGGTTCCCAATCATAATGGCCCTGTGTACAACAGAGTGAAGCACCACCAGGCCAGCACCTCCCACACCTCCTTCCTTCTTACCCATTGGCTCTTGAGTGGTGCGACGATGGAAGCACTTGAATAATCAAACAATCAGCAGTTGAAACCACCAGCTGAAATTATCTGTTCCTGTAAAGATTAACAGCCTTGGAAGCTTCTAGGGGTACTTCTAGTCTCGTCCACAGGGTCACTATGGGTTGGAATCAACAAGTTGGCAATCAATGGATTTGTTTTGTTTTGTTCTTTTCTGTTCTAGTCTGTTATGTTTTGTTGATCTTTTGCCATCAGCCTTGATGTGTCTGCCCCAAATTCCTGTTGTCCTTCCCCATATCTATACTGTCCCTAGTGACGTGCCCACTCCCAACCACCATCCCCAAAGGAGATGCCAAAGATTGCTCAGACAAGCCTGCCCTGGAATCTCTGTTTCATCACATAGTAATTGAAGTTTTAGCGAAACTATTCTACTTCATGTTTCTCTGCTTCCTCGTCTTTAGAATGGGAGCATCCCTGCTTCTTAAGGACTTTAAAACAATATGTACAGGAGCTGAAACAGTGAGATTAATAACTCGATTTCCTCTCGATCCCGCTGTGCATATCCACATCAGTAGGAATTTGTCTCTGAAATGTTGGGAGAGCTTGTAAGATGCTGATGTGTTTAGTATTGCATGCAGCTATTTTATTAAAGATCATAAAAGCTACCGAAGTAATTTGAAAGGCTATGAAGAACATTGACATTTTTATTAAGAATATGAAAATTGGGGGGGGTGGACTAAGTGATTTCAAGATGCATAACTAGAAGGGGGAGCTTTGCTGTGTGTACTTTTTAAATGTTTCTCCTGACCAAGAGAGGTCCCAGGAACAGTCTTCTTGAACACAGAATGTCCAGTTGCCAGTGGTTCTGTATTTGGGCACTGAAGCAAAGATGGTGTGTGCACGCTTGAGTCGATGAGACAGAAAGGAGCATGCTACAGATGGAAGCCATTAAGCCAGATAACTCTGAACCATCACCCCACTGAATGGTTGCCTAAAGAAAAGTTTAGTGCTTTCTTCCATTTTAAATAACTCAAAAATGAACATTTAAAAATTCTAAACACAGGACAAGTACCAATTGGACTGACTTCATTGCTGTGAATTTTCTCATGCTTTCTTTTCATCGTTGCTAAACTTCTCCCTTGCTCTTCAATATTTGCGTTTTGCTGCTTTTCCTGTGTTTATCTCTTCGTTCCATCTGCCTCGTTTTACCCATTCTATATACTATTTCTAGGAACTGTAGTGATGCAAGAGTAAGGGGCTCAGCTGTCAACCTAACGCCTGTCAGTTCAAGACCACACAGCAACTCCATGAAAGAAACACTTGGTGATCTGCTTCCAGGAAGATAAGAACTCAGAAAGCCCCATGGGGGTTTGCATTGTCATACAGAGTCACTCTGAGTCACAATGGACCCAACAGCACCCAGCAACAACAATATACTATATCTAGTAAAGTGCCTTATTATATGTTGTTGTTTGCCCTGGAGCGTTTCCTAAGCTGTAATCATTTCAGGGACCGATCACCTAGTCTTTTCTCGTGTGGCATGAGGATGAGCTCACATCACCAACCTTTGGTTCACAGCCAAGCACTTCCCCCTGCCCCACCAGGGCTCCTTCTTCATTATGGAGAGAATGGTGGTTATGGTGAAACATTGCAGGTAACTAGGAATTAGTTGACGTTGGCTTTGTTCCTCTTGCCTCTGATCAGTACGGGTTATGTCTATGTCCGTCTATAAATCTTGGGGCATATTCAAGAGGCAAAGGTCTTACTCCCTTTTTCCTCAAATTAAAATTAATAATTGAGAACTTAGTTCAAGGTTTAGCACAAGATTGATACTCCATTTTAAAATTCCATCAACTGTTCACGTATCCACCACCATCACATGTTATAGCCATTATCATTTTATTATTGTTGACTTTTTAAAAAATCACCCACTCTGCCCCTTAAATGCTTGCATTTGTGATCCTTTTCATGAAAAGGTAAGGCCCTAATTTTCCCCAGCTGGAGTATCCTGTCATTATTCGCTGCCCAGATTTTTAATATTCTAAATTGCTTTAGTAGTATTATTGTAAAGGTTATATCACTTCTTGTTCATAATACCAGCACTCAAAACAATTCCCTTTAGCAATTCTGATAACTCTGAATTTAATTAATGGGATTCCCTGCCCCCACCCCCACCCCTGTAAAGACTACTAAAGGTACATCAGAGAAAATGTTAAGAACTTAGTAGAGTGTATTCAAGTTCTCTGATCTGGTTTGTCGACATCCCACATAAAGGGGCAAGGGGGTGGGCACAGGAAGACACAAACTTATGTGGTACAGAGTTCTGCTCTTCTCGTTCAAGGAGAACATTCAAGGCATTCCTTCATTCCCTGACACTCTGCTTCCAAATGGTCGCCTTCATGAAAACACAGTGAAGCACAGCTTGATTCCCAATCTCATGGGCTCGCCATGATTTTTAAATGACCCAAAACTAACTGGTTTTGTTTGGCTTCAGTAGATGGCTGTGGTTATATTCCAATAAAACTTCATATGTCGACACTGACATTTGAATTGCACATACACGGTCATATATCACAAAATACGGTTCTTCACTTGGGTTTTCTACAAACATTTTACAATATAAAAACAAACAAACATCTTTTTTAGCTCACCAGCTTGTCTTGGGGAGCTCTAGTTAATCAGCTCCTGGTTTAAAAAGAAGCTGGCTGCAGCAGAGTCCACCATTGCCCTCGGGAGGCGATCAGAGATGCCAGAGTCTGTTCCCATGACTGAACATCTTGACCAAAGATCATAGAGAAGAATCCTGACCAAAAGTAGGGGTGGAACATTCTGGAACCATTGAGACTACATTTTTTTGCCCTCAGATCATCATTAAACCTTAAACCCAAACTACCCCCTGAAGTCGTTTTTTGAATAACAACAACAACAAAAGGCTTCCTTTAATTAGCAAAGTACACCTGCTTTGATCATGGTGGTCTTTTAAAGAACCATCTAAATGCCAGTCACTAGAATGGCAATGGCATCGTACACGTTTGGAAAGGAAACTGGAGGGAACGCGAGTTTAAGAGAACGATGGTGGAGTCATTTGGTGAGGGACAGCTGGAATGGTAACACAACTTGAAGAATGCAATCGGTGTTGCTGAATTTTTCATGTAGAAATTGTTGAAATGGTGTTTCTTTGGCTTATTTGTCTTTCACCAAAATGATCTTTTAAGTAATCAAAAGTCATGCTAGTATGTAAGGCAGAACCAAAGTCATGGCCATAGAGTCTGTGTCAACTCATGGCGACCCTCCAGGACCGGGAGGACCGCCCTGCGGTTTCCAAGGCTGTCACTCTCGATGGGGATAGAAAACCCTCCACACATATTTGCTACTTACTCCTCTGATTTCCTGGAGTAAAAAGTAAGAAAGGGTTCCAACATTGTCTTCCTTTAAAGCATCTTTTCAAAATACTTTATGAAAACACGGCATCGGCTGAGACTATGGCCCCAATGCACATAAAGAACAAAGAATGGATTTCATAAGGAAACTTTGGTCAGAAAATCACACTCCACTGCCAAGATAGGAGGTCTGGTTTCCCATGGGGTCTGGGAGTCAGATGATCCTTAGGTTGTGCGACTTTGTTAAATCAAGTAATATAGTAGTTCAAGAGCAGATTTCTCTACTGTCCCCACACCCATCTCAAACCTGCCCTTTAAAACCAAACATCTGGGGTAAGGCCTGAGACTAGTGAATAGCGAGATCTCTCCCATCTGACCACTACACCCTTATTTGGGGGATTCTCCCCCCCAACTCTTTATTATTGTTCTTCCTGGGTGTTGTTGAGTCAGCTCCAACCCTATGCCCAACAGAGGGAAACACGACTGGGTGCCAGCCTCAAAATTGTGGTTCTATTAGAACCCATGGTTGCAGTAAGCGTTAAGCTCTTTTTTGAAAAACGGTGGTCAATCTGTATGTATCAGAACACGGGTATTCCGACATTCTTCACATGCACCCGCAGCATTCATTCTATTCAATGCTTGTGCAACCACGTCTTTCAGCCCCTCTAACTGAAACCAGTGTCCCCTAAACAGCGACTTCCTCCTTCCCCTTCCTTCCTACTCCTGGAAACTAATACACTTTGGCCTCTATACACAGATTACAGATTTTTTTCCTTTTGTCCTCTTGCAGATTTTTCATGTAAATCCAATCATACAATATTTGTTTTTGTGTGTGTCCAACACCACTCCCTGCAATAGCTTCCATAGCTGTTGTTTGCATAGCTCACCCATCACATATCAGGACTTCACTCTGGCTGAGCAATAGGTCATTGTATGTATCGACCGCATTTTGTCATCCAGTCACCTGCTGATGGCCGCCTCCCTCTCTTGGCTCTTGTAAACTTTGGTGTACATGTACCCAACTTGTTCTTCTTCTTGTAATCTTTCTACCCTAGGTGATGAATCCAGTGGGTCAGGGAGTGGCAGTGGTTGCATGGATGATGTGTGCCCCACGGAGTTTGAGTTTGTCACCACGGAGGCCCCTGCAGTTGACTCCAATCGAAGAGAAGTAGACTCTTCTGCCAGCCAGCTCGGCCACTCCCCGCTCTCGTGGTCTCTCCTCTGCATCGCCCTGGCACTGCAGAGACTGCGCAGATAATCCTGGGTTTGGGGTCGGATGAATCTGCATCTTAGCTATTTGAACGGCCAACTTCCTTCTTTTCTTACACAATTGGACGATGGACCATGCCACAAAAACCTACTGTTTTCTATAAGAAGAGAGCAGCCCAGCAATCTGCCTCCCTTTTTTGTTTTCCCAAAGAATACCGGGTGCCAGACTGGCCTGCTTCCTCCTTCCTTCAGCTCTCTCTGAGGACCGTGTTTCTCCTAGAGAATTCTTACTCAACTCTTTCATACCAGGAGATTTTCTTACCTTCATTTGCTTTTATGCTGCTGAAGTAAAGGAATCTCGTGTTGTGAGTTTCTTTTGTTCCTTTCCTCATTAAAAAATATATTTAGGAAAAAAATCTCTTTGTAAAATCAGGCCAACCCCCAAGATAACAGCATTTGCAACAAGCAAACCAACAAGAGAGAAAAAGAAGAAACTTTCACACTACAAGTACAGTATTGATGGCCAGCTCTCAGTGAGAGGTCTCCGTGAGAAGGCACGTTTCTCCCACGCTTATAGGGAGCAAGGGTGAGTTTCAAAAAAAAGAAAATAAAATACAAGGTTTTCTTGGAGCTATTGTCTTCTACTCTAATCACACAATACCAAATTGATTTGGAGGTACTGACACTAAAATCTAGAATTTCATTTCTAATATGAGGGTAAAAAAAAAGGCAATAACTCAGCACCTCTCTCTCAAACAGTCCAATTCCTGTTTCCGTGATGGCGCTGTTTCTTTTATTCCCTTAACGTCTGACCGTTGTGTCAATAAATCGAAACAGATTTGGGGTCCCCGCCCCCTTCATCTTCAGTGAGTAACAAAAACACTTCATTTCATCAGTTCATCCTCCTCTAGGGTCTACGTTGAAATTGATCTTCAATGACACAACAGCTTTGCTTTTGACACCAGTTTGATATTACTTGGAAGTTTCTGCCTCTGTGCTCATGTGACTCCCTCAAGAAAAGTTCTATCCAGGAACTGATTAGATCCATACTTGAGCTTCCATGTTGAACTCCTTTTGCTTCGTGTCTATTGGTGTCTGCATCACCAGGGCATTCTCCTACAAAACAACTCACAACAAAAAATAAAATACAAATTTAAATATATATATATAGTATTGACATGGAGATTTCTTTCACTTTTTTAGTCTTAGTATGATCATCTATTTTTATATCTCTATATATAAATCACAGATTTTAACTTCTTAATTCCAAACTCAGGGTTGACATACCTTTGTAACAAAAATGTTTTGTCAACCAGCTCTTCTTGTTTGTGCTGCTCAGAGAAGGGATTCCTCAATGACCTATGGGCACCACGAATCGAGACAGAGAACTTTTTCCGCATCTAACTGTCCATCTAGTGAAAGTTTGCCAGGGCACTCCCGTTTCGCATGAGTGTACTTTGTCCTGGGCGCTCCAAATTGTACTCAGCCTGTGGGGAGAGCTATGGTCATGCGAGACTGTACTGGCCATGGAAATGTATGCGCAAAGAATGTGTTTGTCACTCAACACTGTTGCTTTCATGTACAACACTGTTCCAGATGTGGTTTCGTTGCTTGAATAAATCAATACATCGTCGGCCTAGGATTTCTGCTTGGCACTTGGAACAATGGCCTGACTCAGAGGCCAATTTAAAGCCACAGCCTAACCAAGTCTAAAGTGTGCCAATGCTAGTCCTATGCTCACCTCGACAGAGGGATGCAAAACCAACCAGCCGGGCCCTTTATGACTACAGTTCACTATCCATCTGTCCCCTGGGCTTTATGATGCATCTGGAGTTGGGAGAAATAATGTTTCAAAACACCACAGTTTACCAGTCACCTTTTAATTAACCCATTGACAGTAATGACACATGAATGGCACTGTTGACCTCTGTTCTCATAAAAATTATAATTAGTCATTGATTTAGTTGTCACATTAATGTAGAACACATACCATATTAAATATGGTTGCGCATTTTCACAAAACAAAGTATTTACAAGCATCTATTGCTAGTTTATGCCTAATGAAATATGAAAAGTAGGATTTTGAGGGCTCTATGGCATCTTTTCATTTAACTCCCCATGAAGTTGACACTCTAATTTAGCGTGACACGCTTAAAGAACACCGGACAGTTTACTGCCAAACTCTGGTTTTCCATCCCGAATTACATATTCAACATCTTTCTTTATGCAGGGCCACTCATTTACATATGTTGCTCATTTCATCATACATTTGTCCACAGCTCATTCTTGTCTTTTCTCCAGTGGCTAAGGTGCAATACAATCAAATTAAACCAACCTTAATTTACCAAAATATTTGAGTGATAAGTTCTTTTTATGACTTTAAACTCCAACCCTTTTTTATGGTTTGTTTTTTTTCTTCATTGTTTCCTTTGAAAGGGATCAGAATGCTTCCCTCCCCTTTGCTGTCACCCCCAAAGGGTTTCATGCATATGTATCAATACACATTATATTAATGTATGTGCATTCATCGTCTGTACATGCCAAACATAGAGTCAACATATAAGCACCTGCTTCATTCATTTCATCATTTTGATTACCAAAATACATATTGGTGAGGTATCGAGATCCATATCAACCAGACAGAGAGCTGAAAGTACCATCAATTAGCAATGCCACAATACTAATC